GTATGGAGAGAGGATGAACTCTGAGAAAATGAACACTGACGAAAGATGGAACGAAAACTAATAAAAAGTGTAGGAATTAAATGAAAATAATTTTTTTGTGTGAAATAAAGATATGGAAATTTTGGTTCTTGCTGTTAATGTATTTTGCTGTATCATTATATTACTAATGTCATTCATTGTGGAGAAATTCTTTTTAACTTTGCCATCATCAGATATAGTGAACCTCTGATATCGTGAAACAAAACGTTTAGTCCCTAGAAGTTCACTGGATGGGTGATAATCCACGTCCTTGCCATATGCCACTATTGGTTGTTACTACAGCCAACTTTCTTTCGTCTCTTAAATTTTTCTTATTCTCGAGTTCTTGTGTAGACATAAAACTAATACTAATTATAAAATGTATTTAGCAGCCCACTGTTTATTGTGGAAACTAATATTACTAACTAATACTACTACTTAAAATTCATTTAGTCAGCCTAGGAAGAGTGAAGTGGTGGATGAATGTAATGTACATAAAATTGAGGGATTTATAAATCATATTTTAGTGCATATTTTTATGATTGTTGAAGTGCATATATATTTTATAGAATAATAGTGCATATGAATCCAGAGCCTACTTGTGGCGAAGCTCTAAATTGGGCTAATCCCCGTAATGTTCACATAATCAAAAATGGGTGGATAAACACAGTAGGAATGTCCAACACAGTAGGGATGTCCAACACAGTAGGGATGTCCAACACAGGAGGGGTGTCCAACACAGGAGGGGTGTCCAACACAGGAGGGGTGTCCAACACAGGAGGGGTGTCCAACACAGGGACATTAATCCTTACAAAATAGTACAATGATCAGGAATAGCAAAGAATATGTGAAAAATAGAGGAGAGGTAAGGTATGTATTATATCGGGGTATTAGTTACATAATCAACCACAAGATTTTATAAAGCAATGCCAATTATGAAGAATCGGTCATGCCTTTGCAACTGTCTCAATGATTTGTGTTCTAACTTTATCAGGAGTTAGTGGTATCTCCTGTGACGGATCTTCACCTGCTTTGGTAATTTTTTTAGATATTTGGGAGATAATCATGGACAGAAGTTTTTGTTCAACAGAAAAGTTTCTATTTCATGCCAGTGAAGATGTGTTTGGAATGTTGTCATCAGTGCTCGCTGCGAGCTTTTGCCTTCAATAGTTTGAGACGGGGTGGGGTGGGGTGGGGGAGCAAGGTCATTGTTCAAGAAAAGGTAATAGGTACAAGTACCAATATGTCAGTTGTAAATTTCTTATTGCCCAATATCTTTTATCCTAACCTCATTATATACTTCAGTTGACACTTGATATGCCAAGTTGGCAAGGCTCTGGACTACAGCATTTGCAATTTATACAAAATAACCTTGAGAACGTGCAATACATAATTTCTATTTCATGTTTGTGCCAAAATATGTCTTGCAAATATACAGACCTTTAATCACTTTACTTCGCCCAGTGCCGTGCATTTAATACCAACAATAGCTGACTGGAGTCCAAAATAATCTGTTTATCATAATTTAAACAAACTAAACATTTAAACATTAATTCTGACAGTCTTGCAGATATGTGAAACAACTAGGTATTTGTAGAAGTAGCCACATTTCATACTTGAGCTGTAACATATACTTCCTATTGCTTTGTAAATAAATATGGGTATGTCCATGAGAATGTGTCCAGGTCATCTGTGTATTAATGAAATAAAGACCTTCACAATCAATTCTCTGTTCCCAACAGAATAGAATGTGTAGTGTATGCATTTGTAATAATACTAGATAATATTTTTTTTCTGAGTGGGAGCGAGATCAACAAGAACTGTAGTTTGGATGTGAGAAATGTAGGTTGCCCTGGGTTGTTTTCCACCTTTTCTGTTTGAGGAAACAAAACAAAATGTGTCCGAATATTAAAATAGATCATGTGTCCGATTAAAAAAATACTGTTTTTCACGAAATCTCTGCTTGATATGTGAACTCGCTGGAACTAGTTGTCCAAAATAATGAAGATCTTTAAACAAATTAAACATTTCATTTGGTTATGGTTACGGCAGTATGTTCAGTTAATGAAAAATAAATTATTTTGGTATTACTACTAAAATTGTTCTTTGAAATGTTTAATTTGGTTGTTTTTGTGAATTGAATGAGTTCATTTACAAATTGAGTTAATCATTTCTAATTGTGCAATAATTACATATCTATTGCATTATTATCCAAGAATCACATTAATATAATTACATAAATTTGAGTTATGAGTTCAATACATGAATGAAAGTTTGTGAATTTTTTGCTTGACAATGTTCAAAATATAATTAAACTTTCTCTTAACTTATAGCATCCGGCATTTGTTCAATAAACTTTTTTGCTTATTCATGGTTAAATATGTAAATTCTCGAAGTGAGAACAAAAAGGGTATAGCAAGAAAACAAGAATACAAAGTGATATCATTGATTAAAATTATTGTATTAGTAGATTGTGAACTGAAGTTGCTAAATTTTTTTTGGAACTATTGTGAAAATATTTTTTAATGTGGATTTTTTTTAACAAGTGTAAAGAGGTTTTTAAGATGGGTCACAAAGTCCTTGTGATTATGAATTTTCAGTAAAAAATAAACATGTTTCATAATTTAGGGAATTGTGAAAGATATTCCATGTGTTCCACTGTTTTATTACTAATGTGGAAATCATTGTTTTTATTTTCTTTCCTTTCTTTTAATATTTGAATGGGTAAAAACCAAAACAGTATAAATGACATTTTATAAATTTTGAGAAATCTGGGATTTCTACGGAATTTCAACTGTTCATTAAAACCACGAAAAAACATTGCCAATGAAATAAAGCTTAAAATAAACAAGTTTTCTCAGAATTTGTAAAATCCCACTTGCACTGTTCTGGTTTTCACCCATTCATTGTATGATTTAGTTTATTAAGTTTTATCAAGATTGTTTTTTGTTTACACATACCAAAAATCTTGTAGACTGTTATGGTTATTTGAGAAAGTTTGCTGTAATATTTCCTGTTCAGAATTATTCATTTCTGCCTGCTTTTGTTTTGTTAGTACTGGTTTAGGAGAGGGGTGAGGTTGGTAGCAATAAGCTTGTAGCAGCACAGTGAAGGCATGATTTTCCTGTGAGCAGATGTGTAGATTCATCCCTCCTGGTTCAGGGCTGCCTCTTAACCCTACTCCCCCCCCCCTCTTTTCTCCTTCAAGGGTATAGAAATTGCAGCTCTTGCATAGTGGGGTTACTTGAGTGGCAAAGAAGCAATATTCAGTCAAGAATGAACATTTTTGTGGGGCATTAATTGGGGGCAAACTTCAAGTAATGACACGATTCTACACGATTATTTTTCTTGTAATCAAAGAATATCCAGTGGATAGATTTGTTAGGTTTACACAGTAGTGGTACTTGCATAAGCCATCACTTTCTTTAAATTCAAGAGGCCCCAAAATCTTTTGTATTTCCTTCATTCTGAAGTAAATTTGCTGTTGTGTGTGTGTGTGTGTGTGTGTGTCACATTCACAAAACATTAAATCAGAGGAAATGCTTTTAGAAGAACAAAAGTAATGTAAGAAAAGTTATCATTTGTGTGAATGGAAAACATGATTAAGGTGAGTTACAAACTGAAATCTCAGCAGCCCTATTAATTCCAATATTCCAAAGAAAGCATTGCATAACAAGTACGAGTAAAAAACCAACAACAAAATCTTGGTGCTTTATTTACATTTTATGTGCCTTGAAGGTGTTTTTAATGTATATCATTACATTATTTAAAGTATATCTAGAGTTGGAAGAAAGGTGGGGGTCCAGGGAACCTCCATGAAAGAAATATTAACTGAAAAAGATTGACTAAAAAATAAAATTTTTGCAATGACCACAGGCCATTAGCAAAACTGTCCTGAGTCTTGTGGCTCAACACATGAACTGATACTATTTCTTAACAGTGAAGAACTAAACATGACTTAAAATTTACTGTATAATAACTAACAATTATTACAGAAAAGACATGAGAAAATGGATGATTAGTGCTCTTGCAGGGGCTTTAGTTTTGAAATTTGAACTGAACAAGCTTTTGAGAAAAGCAAAATATCTTTTGTCACAAGATAGCGCCTTCCTGCAAGTTATGTAGTTGTTTACAATTGCAATATGTTGCAATGGTGATATAAGCAAGTTGTTTCTTATATTTGAAAAATATTTAGTACATTTATAAAATATATTATAGTTTTTCAAATTTTATACTATCTAAAGGGCCCCCCATATTTTCTCACTTCTCAGCCCCATACTTTTAATAATGGAGCCTTTTGTGTATCAGTAATGTTATTAAATAGATATACTAGTATTTTAATGAAGAATTGCATCAAAAATGTGTTTAAAATTGGAAAACAAAATTTATTAAATGGGCAAATAGACTTCTTATTCACAAGTTTTGCACTTCCATTTTTTCAAGTAATTTTAATCCTCAAGACTTGGAGAATAGGTAAGTGCCCATGTGTTTGTGTGTGTGCCCTGTATTAAGGCAAGAGGATGTAGAACATGCATACTTGCGTGGCTCAGTGATGAGAATACCGGATATTCCCAACAATAATTTTTAATCTTTGGGATTTCATTAGATGAAGGTTGCAAAGATATTGCGTTATTTTTTATATTGCTAATAAAAACTGAGTGTTATTTTGCTTTAAATTATTTGCATGACTGCCAATATACACCGTGTGAAGTGCGCACAAAAATAATATATATGTCAAGGATGCAACATAGCTATAGCTAATTGTATTAAAAATAGGAATATAGAAGATCGTAATGAATATTTTGTTAGAACTACTCTGTTCATTACCTTTAATTATTATTTCTGTCAATTGTTGCTAAGTAACTTATAAATATTATTTGTTACTTATAATAAAACTAATGTCGGTTATTTCCTTAGAATATTCATGCAAGTGCTTTGGCAAGTATTAGAAAGATTATGTTGAGGTGTATGTATGCACACAGGCAAGAAGCTGCAGTGCCCATTCTGCGAGCGCCTGTACGGCTACGAGACGAACCTCCGTGCACACATCCGCCAGCGCCACCAGGGTATCCGTGTGCCCTGCCCATACTGCAACCGCACCTTCACCCGCAACAATACGGTGCGGCGGCATATTGCCCGTGAACACAAGGCGGAATATGCACTTAAGGTATACCATCCGCCGCCGACTGAGGTGCACAACCTCAGCAACCAGTAGCTGCCCTATGCCGCTGCCACCACCGCCTCTCAGACCTGCCGCTGCTGCATCAGGATAACACTACAGTAACACAAATACCTCAAACGATCTTATACATAGATTATATAGAGAATTATACTTGATAAATATTATATATATATACAAGATATCTATATGACATTGTTAAGGGACAGGTACGAGTTAGTGTCCTTTTAACAAATATTGGAATTATGTGTATCTTTTTTTTTTTTGTTTTGTTTTGTTTGTATTTTCTTTCTGAGCACTTTTTTTCTGGATGTCTGTGTGAGTTTATACAGTAGCTCTCTCGGTTGACTAGGAGAAGTTTTGTTCGAAATTTTTGGGGTAGGGAGAGTTTTAAAAGTCTTTAGTTTTTTGGAGAATGAGTGAAACTCATTCCATTACAGTCAAATGAAGGGCTATATGTACTTCACAGTCTTGTCCATTTCTTTCTTATGTCCTTCAAGGGCAGTAATTTATCTTATGATGGTGCCTCACTTACTAAGCTACAAAGTACACAAATTGTTCAAAGAGAACAACGGGTGATAAATGATTCTGTGTATCACACAAAACCAGTAAATGTTTTGGAAACGGGTATAAATTTATTCTGCTCAGAGAAATGAGGCACATTCTTAGAATTATTAAGTGTGTTTTAAAAACACACATTGTAAGTAGTCGACATTGCTACTTGGTGCTTCACAGAGCTTTATCACCAGTTGTACATTGAGTGTTTTTTGGCTAAGTGATAAACTAGAGACAGTTATTGAGCACTACTTCAAATGTCTTGACAAAATGTGATAGTCGCTTGAATTACTCTTGCGCCTACCAAAACTGTTGCCGGTATGTCCACTACATGCTCAGCTGTTGAGGGGACATTTAGAGTGTGCATAAATAACTCAAAGAACAGTACACACTATTTTTGTTAAAATGTGATCTTATTTTCAAGGGAATATTTGTCATTGTCAGAATCCATTATCTCTCCTGTTAGAAAACTAGTCATTCAAGGTGCAACAGATTTTTCATCTCTTTACAACTCAGGAATCAGTAGTAAATAATAATATTTTTGTTTATCATCTGGGCCCCCAAATGTCATGAGGGGAAAATCAGGGACAGTTGTTACAAACCTGGGGAACTGGTAAAAATATAAAGCATCCTAGTGCCAAATCACAGCTATGCACAGTGTGTCAAGTATTTTATTTAATATCTCTTAGGAATTCTTGTGGGCCTTGGGCCTCCCTTATTGCAGTTGAATTCTTCATTTGATTTCTGTCTTCTATTTTCTCTTCTGTTGTGCTCTTGTAGTTTTCTATCTACATATGTGAAAGAAAATATTTATGTTCATAATATTGCTATCTGCTCCTAGTCAGTGTATCCCTCTTAGTGTATAGATATTTGACAGTAATTCAGTTGTAGTTGCATTATTTGTACACTTTTTTTAGATTCCAGTATTTATCGATTGTTGTTTTTAACCCAGGCAGTGAGGCGAGATCTGAGGTGGTACCTTGTTGTATGTTTACATGACACATAGTTTTAATTCAACTCAGGACAGGAAGCATCACAAGAATGCAACGCAGATTATTATTATTATTAATATAATTATTATAGTAATTCTTGTTTTATATACAGCCATTTTGAAATACTGCATTTTCTAGGAAATACTTTTTACCAATGTGTCCAATATCATAATTTTCCTATTGAGGAAAAGGACAAGCCATTACTTAGTTCACAGTCACGTTCGCATTCATAATAGGTTTCCCCTATGCAATCTCAGGTAGCCGGACGGTGTACAGTGTCGCGAAAATCTTAGAATTAGAGCAACTTTTTAAAAGTGAATTGTTTTATTTTGCATAAATGTATCGTCTTTGAGTTCTTTAAAAATTTAATATTGCTTTATTTCATAAAGGAGTTTTGTTGGTTTCAGTAAATTTTTGTTATCATAGTTGTAAGGTGCAAAAGCTTTGAGTTCTGGAAGCACTGTGACGACCTTGGTATAGCCCTAGTGTTGCCTTGGTGAAGGTGGCATGGGGTCAGGGCAGTTGTTATGTTTGTGTTGGGCTCTGTTGATCGGAGTTGCCGTATGTTGATGTATTGTTTATTGCATGCAGGGGATGGAAGTCGGTTAAAGGGTTCTTTTCACACTTGTTTAGTGTAACAGATGTTCTTTGTTTGAAATATTTTGACACAATCTTTTAGATTTTATGTTGTTGTATTGGTGCTTCTTTATAATTTTGGGCGATCGGTTATTGGTTAAGTAACAAAAGTAGCTCTTAAGGTCTGTGTTATAAGCACCTGATTGGACTATTAATTTATTTACTAACTTTTACCCATAAAATTTGTTTTTATGCCTCTATTATACTGAGAAATTTATTTTGTATATTCATATTTGATGCACTTAGTGCTTGAATACTAAACGGGTAAATAAGGTACATTGACTCTTCTTACCACTCAAGTCAACTGCGCTACACGATTGTAAACTCCAAGTTTGTAATAGAACTGAAATGTCTCCATCCGTAAGGATCACAGATTGGTTGAGTTGTGATGAGAGATTTGGGAATAGAGATGGATAAGGGGCACTAGGCTACTTACATTTTTCCTATCCAAGTGAAGCCATTGTTCCTTCCTTGTATAGGAACTGCTGCCCTGTTGGGTGCCTGGACATGCCAAGCAGCTCCCCAAGGGCATGAAGCAAGTGTCTAACCCTTGCATTGTCCTGGTGGATTGATTAGGTGTATGTTATTTTAATTGTAG